AAAAAAAAAAAAAAAAAAAAGATATTAACAGCAATTCAGAATGGCATACCTTGTTGGTATAACTGCCTTTGTCATATGTATTAAACATCCATTCATTTAACAAATATTTATTAATCATAAAATAATTCAAGATTTCTACTTTAAAAGGCCTGTGCCCCCTGAAGTACCAGAATTCAAGAACATTCAAGACTTCAGTTTGACTTAATCTTCTTTGATTTTTGGTCTGGTGTCCTGCAGTTACCTGTGGTTTCTGAGGCTTCCTGTCATAGTCTGGTTTCCGGAAGAATTCCGGCTTCTGCAGAGCTCTTGGACCCACATTGTACTTGAGCTCTCGAGGAACCTGGTCCAGCCTCAGGGTGCAGAGCACATCGCTCCTTGGTTTGCTCTGATCATTAATGTCAAACTGTTTCAGGACAAGCTCTTCATCAAGGCTCGAACTTCCCTGGAAGAAAACCACATTGTGTGAGCTGAGGGCAAGAGGTGAAGGCCTCCTTGCCTTCTTCCTTCACCTGGGAAGTGGTTGCCCATTGCTGGGGAAGAGCTTAGAAGAAGGTAGAAAATGGTTAGCATTGTTTGGACAAAAAGTATTTGGGTGTGAAGGGCTCTGCCAGTGCCTTAAGGGCAGCTCAAGACCCACAAGAAGCAGTAAGTCCATGAGGGAAATTCGGTCTGTCTGATCAAAAGTAAGCTTCCCTAGCATTTTCCAGGAGTTTCCAGACCTGTCCATGTTCGTTCTGCCCTCAGTCCTACATGAGGGAAGCTGCCCTGTCCACGGCTCTTGTTGAAGGAGGCAGTACTAATCAGCCTCACTTTGTACACAGAACAGCCTCCTCCTTTCCCTTCCTCAGTCACAGCTGGTGGGGTAGAGATGGGCACGTCACAGCAGCTCATCCGTAGTCTGAGTGTTGACCTCTGGTATGGCTCAAGGCTAAAAGATATTAAACCCAACAGAATCCAACTCTGGAAAATAGAAATTGGAAATACAGAGACAATGAGATCACCAGCAGCTGGAGTCGAGGTTTGCCTGACTGCTGTCCCAAGATTCCTTGAGTTTCCTGCACAACAGAGCATTAGTGTCCAGCACCAAGAATGAGAGAAGGGTTAGGGCTGGGAACCAGGCAACCCAAGCCACCGTTTATGGACCATTGGTGGTTGGGTACCAGACATGGTGGTCATCATCTGCCTGGGCCAGCATCTCTCTGCCAATCCCCCTCTGAGGCGCCTCCCTCACTCAGTTAGTCTGTTGCAGCTGGACACCCTCAGCCTCAGCTTCAGGTCTAAACATGAGACCTGGCCTAGCCAATGAGTACAGTCCAGCTCCTCAACCCCAAAGGTTAATTCAGGCACAGGCATGTGACCCAGGTAGGACAGTGAGAATAAGCTCTGGACTTCTCCCTATTGGAAACGTGTTGCTTTCTTCCCACTTAGGTAGCTTACCAATAGAATATAAGTCTGGAAATTTTAGTGGCCTATTTTGGCATCTCTTGGGGAAAGACCACTTGAGAATGAAGTCCGAGGAGTACAACCAAAATGGAATCAACCCCTAAAAACATTTTAGCACCTGGATTCAGCTG